TATTTGCCTTGGGTGATTATATTTTATTATTATTATTATTATTATTTATTTATTTTTGGATCAGGAAGCTGCAGCCATGGCAGCGACAGAAGTGGCGTTCATACTCCAGTCAGCAGAAGGAAGAGCTTTTCAGTTTACCATTGCACCAGATTCTCCCATAACTCCACAGCAAGAACCAAATCAATGATTCGATCTCGCTAATCACTTAACTTCCAATGTTCCCTCTTTCAGTTTGTTCATAGTTGTTGTAATTGTTCAGTATTACCGATGTAATGTATAATACTTGTGTGAAACTTCTCCAGGGTTCGATGGCAGAAGAGAGGAAGGCAAATTTGAAAAGAGAAAGAAAAAAAAAAGTTGCTTTGCCAAGTTACTAATTCTATGATTAAATTGTTCGATTATGGTATACTTGAGATTGCTGGCTTTGCTCTCACACATTTATAGTTCTGTGTCTTTCTGGGGATTAATAGGTGCTCCTAAATATTTGATATATTGGCTTTGTTGTTATTGCAGATAACTTCAGTTTTTCGGTTCCTATGTGTTTTTCTGTAATATTAGGTCTATTTTTTTGCTTCGCCAATATGAAGAAAGAGCTCTTTGTTGTAATGTTAATTGATAGCATTCTTAATCTTGTGATCTTGGGATAGATCATGAATCTTACCAACTCTGTCCACGTTCTCTCTTGGTTACTCTCTGTCACCTACTGACAGTAAAATGATAAGTGTGTGTGTATATATATATAGAGGTTCTAATAAAAATCTCCTTAGCCTAAAAACTAAAAACCTCCTTCATCCAATGGCTAGGATTCAATCAAACAGTCAACAGACACATGCATTAATTACCTCATTAAACACATGCGTTAATTACATCAATGCAGTGAATCTGGATTCACTACAGTGATTCGAGATACGTTGAGGTAGTGAATCTGGATTCACTGCGTTGACCGCGACGAAGACAAAACTCCGGCCTGCTCTCTGGACTTTGAGCGGTCGACCGCAGCGCCACGTGCGGTTGACCGCGATGAGCTCCTGGCCTGTGCACCCAGCTGTGCACGACGTCGGTCGACCGCCGCGCCATGGCCAGTTGACCGCGATGCAGAAAACCGCCTCCTTCGTCGTTTTTGCTTGAACTCCGCCATCGTCGATCATGTTCATCCTGTTCCAGCTTTGTTCCTCCTCTCTTCTGAAATGTAGGGCATGTCTGATAGTTAGGCTTCACATATCCTAACAAATAGTGTGTCCACCAAAGTTTTTAATCACTCATATTGCCTAGGGATCCTTGTATTATATAAAAATGTGTTTTATATTAATAAATGTGTGGTTAGGAACTTTGGTGGACATCAACTTAAGTAGAAAACTGCGCATTGTGGTTATAGCTTGAATAATTAAGATTTTTATTGGATTTAGTTCTAGTTCCTCATGACGTGCATAGCTGGTTGTTAAAGCTTGATTGTTCCTTAAGGATTGGTTGTGGCAATGTCATGAAGAATTATAATCTATTGAATTTATTTCTACTCATTTTACAGCAGTGGAGCTTTAACTATTTACTAATATGCTTCAATTGATAGATTTGAGATTTTATTTAATTTTGACATTTAGAGAGAATTTTCTTATTTCTAATATTTATGTTGTCTCCAGAGTTTTAAGAAATCTAAGGGAGGAAGCATATTTCTGATGTGCGCAGCGGAAATTTCGGCAGCACCTCCGGTGCGCAAGGTGCACAACAAGAGATTAAATCGTAAGAATTCCTGTCTCACCAAGGAAACAAGGATCTGAAGCGGATATCTCAACAAAGTGAGATATCGGCTCTTCCTCTCATCAGTTCTAGGACTGACCTGTCGAGGGATCCTACAAGCTATTACAAATCACGGCAAGAACACAAATTTTACGTGGTTCGGCAAACTGCCTACGTCCACGGGGCAAGGAGGGGGAGATCTACTATTAGAGGGAGAGATACAACTAGGGTTTACAATCACTCAATCTAAACCCTCTCAAACTCTCAGATCCCTCACACAAAATCTCTCTCAAAAGAGGATGCTAAAATCCTAAAAGACAGCACAAACTCTAGGGAACAAACTGCACGCGTCTGACTTGCACAGCCGCTGCACCTTCTTCTTTCCCTCTGCTTTTGATCGCTGCCAAAGGAGAAGCCACCGCAATTATTCATTTTCTCCTCTCTGCCTTCGCTCCGCTTCAAAGCCTTTTCACAAAAAAAACCCTTGCTTTTTCTTCGTAGCCGCCAACAAAGAAGATTCCCACCTTGCACCCCCAGCACAAAACCCTAGGCTCTCACTTTATAGAACCAAATGTCGGTGGGCCTTAGCATTTTTCCGCTGGACTCAAGCAACAAAACTCGTGGGTGTTGAGTCTTCATGCACGTGGGTGGACCCCACTCATCAATCCCACGAATTCACAATTCTCCACCTCGGTAAAGTTTTCCCAAAACTGAGCCGACACCGACCACACCAAATGCCTCACTTGTTGTGTCCAGTACGCCATGGCAACAGACTCATGACAACGGATTCCATCCATAACAAGTCGAGAACCCGAACGAGAATCCAAACAATCTCACCCCTATCAAAATCAACTAATCCAAATCGGCTGCATCAAACATGGCTGCCTACGTATCCTCTTGCCCAAGGAATCAAGCCTCACGTAGTTCACCCAATGGCCGCGAACGATCTCAATCAAATAGAAGAGTTCGCAACCCTTCTCCAATATTACCAAACGATCTGCAACTGATAGCACTCCCAATAGCCCCAAATTGAGACAAATCAAACACCTCCATCTGAGGTGAACCAATAACCGTATCCAAATCAAGTCCATCAGCTGCAATCGAATCCAACTCATCATCTGCATCCAAATCCAAATGATCCCCAATCTGTGTCACCTCAGCTAGAATCCCAAATGATACAGTATGATCTGGAGTCTTCACCCAACATGGAGTAACATCACTCTCTACCTGCTGCGATGTCCTAATGATCTGATCACCACTCTCCACCTGCCGAGAGTCAAACGTGACATACCTGCTCAGAACAAAGTCAGAAGCCAATACCCGATAATCAAACACGCCTCTGAATCCCAAATGTGATATCAGATCAAATCTCACATCCACGATGTGACCAAGTGCTGGGTAGCCAAACATCCGACGCAACCCAAAATCTGAAGCAGCTTCACCAGATCCCATATCTCTACATGTAGTAGTCGACAACCTATACATAAGACGGCCCAAACATGTCGTAGCCCGCACACCAATGCCAATGCTCGACATCAAACGTCGATCCTCCTCCAGAAAGGAACAGCTCCCCAAATCTGCTATCCCATCACGTCGCCTCAAAGTTTCCACACCAATGAAGTGTCTCCAATTACCGTGAGCTCGGCACAAATGCAGAAATAGGTCCCTCTTGTACCTTCCTCTAACATCAGACTGAAGTACCTTCACCTTTCTGCCAATACACTTCCTCTATTTGTTACGGGCTTCTAGGACTTCACACCAACAAGACTTGGTTGCAACCCACCAATGGCTAGAGCAATCCCTAACTGCGAAAACCACATACCTATTACCTCCCAATGATGCTCTCTTGGTAGGCCCCCGAATGCCTGAATGAACACCCCTCAGAAGACCCCTCGAATGATGGATAGAATTGCCAAACTCCACCTCGGTCTTCTTGCTCATACCAATGGGTTCACAGGGCTTCAAACTGCAGGTCATAGCACTCCTCAATAACCTATGCACGACATTACCAATCAAATAACCTAGCATCAAACAACGCCACAGTCTAGGCGAATCTGATGAAGTCGTCATCTCCCTATCAATCACCGTGCTTCTAAGCAAATAATACAAATTACTTCTTCTGACGCCCTTCATCACAATCATGGACCCCAATGTGACCTTCAAACATGCATCCACCAAGGTCACTTTATAGCCAGATGCCACCAAAGCTCCTAGTGAAATAATGTTCTTCGACAACTGCGGAACGAACCTCACTTCATCCAACTCCTGAATCACGCCGTCATACATTCGAATACGAACGGTACCAATACCACCAATAGAGCATGCATGTCCATTACCCATGAGCACAACATCCTCTACCACCAATAGAGCATGCATGTCCATTACCCATGAGCACAACATCCTCTCTTTCCAACTTCTGAAAACTGGAGAACCAATCCCTCCTAGGGCAAACGTGGTATGAAGCACCCGAATCCAACATCCACTCTGTAGAGTTGGCAATACAAACTGACGGTAGTGCAGATAATAAATAGTCCGAAGAATCTGAATCTGAATTGTTGCCACTAGTCTTGACAACATTTACCTCTGAAGTTTGTACAGCTTTCCTCTTATTCTTCTCGGCTCGATCTAACTTTGGGCATTCGGCTTTCCAATGTCCATCATCTTTATAAAAGGCACACTGATTCCTACGAATCCCACGATGTGCACCTCTAGACCGCGACCTTCTGCTTCGGTTTGAACCACTGTCTTGAACTACTAAAGCATCTCCTGATGCCTTCTCGGAGGACTCATCAACACTCTTCCTCAACTCATAATTCACCAACGCTGAGGTCACCTCCTTGTAACTAAAAGTAGTTCTTCCATTAATCATATTTAGGACAAAAGTACCGTAATCATCATCGGGCAACGAACACAAAAGTAGCATCGCCTTATCTTCATCCTCAACCATGATATCCACATTAGCCATGTCTGAAAGTAGCTTTGTGAAATTGTTAACATGCTCCCTAATGGAAACTCCCCTCTTTATCTTGAACTAGTAAAACATCTTCTTCAAGTGAAGCCGATTCTCAATGCTCTTAGTAAGATACTTTTCATTGAGTGTTTCCCACATCTTCTTCGCCGACGTCTCGTTCATCACATCATAAATAAGATCCGGCGTTAAGCATGACCGAATAACTCCACACGCCCTACTATTCATCTTCTTCCAAACCTTAGCTTCTATCTCGGCAAGTTTTTCTTATAACTCAAGAGTCTCCTCCAAATTCTGAGCGTCCAAGGCGTCCATCACCTGACACCTCCACAATTCGAAGTTAATCTTGCCGTCAAACTTTGGAACATCAATCTTCATGTTATTGATGCTTAAACTATGTATCGTCTTCGTAAGAGACGATCCCGATGTGCTTGTTTTACCCATGTTGTCGATCTACTCTTCAAATAGGAAACCTTCAGCGAATCCTTCAAACAAGCTCCCAAGTCCAACCCGGAGCTCTGATACCACTTGTTGTGCGCAGCGGAAATTTCAGCAGCACCTCCGGTGCGCAAGGTGCACAACAAGAGATTAGATCGTAAGAATTCCTGTCTCACCAAAGAAACAAGAATCTGAAGCGGATATCTCAACAAAGTAAGATATCGGCTCTTCCTCTTATCAGTTCTAAGACTGACCAGTCGAGGGATTCTACAAGCTATTACAAATCACGGCAAGAACACAAATTTTATGTGGTTCGACAAACTGCCTACGTCCACGGGGTAAGGAGGGGGGAGATCTACTATCAGAGGGAGAAATATAAATAGGGTTTACAATCACTCAATCTAAACCCTCTCAAACTCTCAGATCCCTCACACAAAATCTCTCTCAAAAGAGGATGCTAAAATCCTAAAAGACAGCACAAACTCTAGGGAACAAACTGCACACGTCTGACTTGCACAGCCACTGCACCTTCTTCTTTCCCTCTGCTTTTGATCGCTGCCAAAGGAGAATCCACCGCAATTATTCCTTTTCTCCTCTCTGCCTTCGCTCCTGCACTTGCTCCGCTTCAAAGCCTTTTCACAAAAAAAAACCCTTGCTTTTTCTTCGTAGCCGCCAGCAAAGAAGATTCCCACCTTGCACCCCTCAGCACAAAACCCTAGGCTCTCACTTTATAGAACCAAATGTCGGGTGGGCCTTAGCATTTGTCCGCTGGACTCAAGCAACAAAACTCGTGGGTGTTGAGTCTTCATGCACGTGGGTGGACCCCACTCATCAATCCCAAGAATTCACAATTTCTACTATCAACAAGTTTGAAATGCGCGGAGATGGACTGGAACTTGCTGGGTGTTTTGAAGGTGTTAAATAGCTTCAAAAGAGGAGAGTATGAAGATGGGATTTTTTTCGTAAACAATTTGCTCTTTTGTTTTATATTTATACTGGACTAGTGTTATTTAATGTTGTAATTCTTTGTTTTAATAATAATTTCTATTTTTTATACAGCTATTTTTATGTTTGAATGAATATTTTTGTATTCATGTTATATTTTCATAAATAATTTGTGTGATATGTATGAGTGTGATTGAATATGAAAGCAAAAGCCTAGATGGTATATGGAACATATTTTAATATATTTCAAAAAAAAACATCCTAAATGAAAATTCCGTCAAGTATGCTCCTTCTAGACGGAATTTTCGTCTAGAATTTTCAGAATATCCTAGACGGATATTCCGTCTAGGATGTTCATCCTAGAGGGAATTTCTATCTAGGATATTTTGGGGTGTCCTAAACGGAGGATTAGTATCCTAGATGGAAATCCATCCATCCAGGATCATCCTCAATGGAAACATGCTAGACGAGCATCCTATATGGAATTTTGTCCAGGATAATCAATCTAGACAGATTTCTACTAAGTCTTTACTCTCCTTCAATTAATTTTCATGAACAAATGTATAAAACTTTAAGCAGTGATTTCCTTTATGCTACACACAATTTACACAAATGATTGAGCTAATTACTTGAAGCGAAACATTTTGTGTGTGCATCTACTGTTGTGCTCTATGTACTTAGTAGTTTCATGTATATTCATTTGCTTAAGTGAACTAGAAGCAATCACCCATGTTTAAGTCATGGAATTAAAGATTTTCATCATAATCGCAAAGTATTGAACACTTCAACATCCCATTTCCAAACAAAATGGAAATAAATAAATAAATATAACCGGGGCCCACGTTTACCAATATTTGCTTCATGATCGAGAGAGATGGAATCGACACAAGAACCTAATAAAACAGTTATATGTCTTCTATATATTATTTGAATACTATACCCTGATTGATTATTTCCCAACCTATGTCACTTCAATATATTGCAAACTCAAAAATATATGCACTTCAATTGAGAGACGAGCAATTAAAATCTCAATCTGATAGATATTCTGTACATCACATATCCGTTACACAAAACTGAGAGGGACAGGGAGCATATAATTTTCCTTACATCAAATGAAGAACTACGTTTGGAGTGTTTTAAGCCAGCTGCTTAAATTTGTGACAGAAAGAAAATAAATAATAAAATTAGTGCATAATAACAGTAAGAGCTGCAACAGCGTGAGGATGCAACTATTGATCAAGAAGTGCACAGGAAAAATATAGAAAAAGACATGGAAGAAAAAAATAAATAAATTATTCCTTTAAAATTTTACCTTATTTTTTTAACAGGCTGAATATGATTGGATTAAATTAATTATCACAAGTTCACTAATACAACTAAGAGTTGTTGAGTAGGGTTTATTAGACTAAGATTAGGAGAATAAAGTTACATAGATTTCTGATTTTATGCATGCATATATATGGATTCACACCTAAGAAAGCAATATGTCGAGCTATGTCTGAAAGAAAAAAAATTACAAAATCTAATTCAAAAATATCAAGTACATAACTCAACATCTTATTTAGTAGTTAGACTTGAATTAGTGACTGATATGCACTTGTAACGATAACATTGTTTATTTATTTATATTACGTAATACATATATACCAAGAGAGACGGAGTCTCAGGTTTGAAGAAATTGACCCATTCTTTGAAACTTGATTTACACTATTCCAACCGAATAATTATCAAAATTAAAAGACATGAATGGTTCAAAGCTAGGAGATTAATTAATAATTATTGGCCCTAAGCAAGGGGCTTAACCCCCAGAGCAATGCATGCAATTTGGGAGACACAGGTCAACTAACTTGGTCTTACAAGTTAGAATCAACTATATATAATCGATAATTAGGCCGTCTAGTTTTTTAATTTCCATGTTATTAAACTCACAAATAAGAAAACATTGATGCATTCAAAGAAGAATTATGGGACGATTTAGAAGTATACAATTGTATATAGACGAAAAGGGTGGACTTATTTCAACCAAGTTCCTCTATGGAAAATATTAAAATATACTTGGTAATGTGGAAATTAAATTAAATGAGCTATGTGTATGAATACACTAACTAAAATACACTCATACATGTCTCCATCTTGGAGGTGTTTGTAGGGGTTTTTTTTAATTTAATTGGAACTGTATATGCTGACTCAAATAATGATAAAACACAAAACGACATAAAAGAATGTGTACATAATAATATTAACTGTATATGCTGACTCAAATAATGATAAAACACAAAACGACATAAAAGAATGTGTACATAATAATATTCCATGTTTATATATTATTCAATTTCATAATCACCATCACTTGTTTAATTTATCCGTGAATAGACACAAGAAAGGGCATCCACATTGGCATGAGGGTTTTGCTTATTCTAGAAGATAATAATTAAGTTTTGTGTATCAGTTTCTATACTATCCTTTTTATATGATTTTTGCAAATTTTGATCTCTCATGTAACTCAAAAATACTACCTGAAAATACAGTGAGAAGTATTCTAAAAGATGCAACCATTCGGTATAATCCTAGGCATTTCTTCGAAAAGGTTTCTCACTAGAGTAACCACATAAATGTATCCGAAATTAGTAGGTATCGATTTCTTAAAATAAATCCTAAATACTACTACAGACTAATTAAGTACATACCCTCAAGACGTTTTATTTATATCTAGTGTTAAGACTTGTTTTCAAACATAACCTCTCATAGACTACTTGTATAAATGAAGGCAAAGTTTAGTAAAACACTATACTAAATTAATCCCATACAGTTATCTGAAGAGTAAGAAAAGTCACCAAAAAAGGAGCAATCCATCACAGCATCACTTGATCTTAAAAACTAAGTCTGCTTTCACACCTATGAATGATATATATCCAAACCTGTCAATTTATGAGAGAACCATGTAACAGAAATTAACATCACTCTCTACTTAGCTCAGCCATATCTTCACTTGGAAAACTTTCCAGTATTTTTTTACTCCTCATACTTTTCCTGTTATTTTTTTATTGAATTAAGGAATCTTCGTGTGATGCCTAATCACACCAAGACAAGGAGTTGTTACAAATATCTACCTATTAAGATAAGAATTGAAATTTACCGATAAACTTCATGAATCTGATAAGAAATAATACCTCATAGAAACTAATTAATTAGAGGTGTTATTAGATTGAATAACTTTATAATATATTTGAACATGTCATGCTACCGGGATTAAGCTTATCTATCGCTTAATTAACTGGGTATATATATATATATATATATATATAATGAACCAGATACGATGAAATGTGAACAGAGTAGTAATAAAATGACCAATATACTGCGGAGTTTGTAATTTGATTGAGACCCATTTTAAAATTTAAACAAATGAAGGGCTTCAAGAAAGGAAGGAGGGAAAATGGTTGTTTATTAAATAAACAATTCTGATTTGGTGTGCTGAACTGTGCTCTAAACCTGCTATATAAGCCGTAGAATCCTGAAACATAATCCAAACATTCAGAATTTACAATACCAAACTCCTCAAATTTGCCTCTGTGGAGATTACAGCCGGTAGGTATTTGTTATATTTGAAGCAAATTGATTGCTTGATACTTGTAATGTGCACTAGTCTTCGACGTTAACAAAGGCATTAAGTTGCTTTTTTTTAAAAAAAAAAATTGTCTCTCTCTCTTTGATGAAATTAATGAGTGGTTTTGGTTTGGAACACAGAAAGTATAGAAGAGATATGGAAGAGAGAAATGAAGTGCTGCTTCCAGGCTTTAGATTTCATCCAACAGATGAAGAGCTTGTCGGTTTCTATCTCAAGAGAAAAGTTCAGCAAAAGCCACTTGCTATTGAGCTTATTCGACAACTAGATATTTACAAGTTTGATCCATGGGATCTCCCAAGTAAGGGATTTTTTGCAAAAATCTTAAATTCCTTAATTAAATGCAAATAGATCAATATTTCTGACATGTGCATCTTGTCCACCAAAAACACTCGTTTTGGTATTTTTCTCCCTAGTTTCTTGTTCTTTTCATCAAAGTGCAAGGTTTATTGGCACATTCTATGTCTGTTCTGTGGTTCGGTGAAATAGTTTGATGCCATTTTTCAGACTTTTAGCTGTTGCTATCAGTATTTTTTCTGATATATATCTGCACACACTAACTAACTATTTGATCATTTAGCCCAAATTCTTAACAATTGCCAAGAAAAGGTAAATTTCACGAAACTATCATAAACCACTAAGGGTTGTACATAAAATGGTCAGTAATTGTTTATATTCAAAAAAAAAAAATCACAGGCTTCATAATCAACAAAAAGAGCAGCAAAACATCACAAACTATCAAAAAAGCTATCCATGACTCAAAACATCATAAACTCTTACATTTTACAAAACTAACATGAATTTTCAGATAGCAACACTAAACTTCTTTTGAAACTTTACATTTACGATGAATTTTCAGGTTCCTATAAAACTGTCATGAGGTTCTGATAGTGAAGGGCATTTTTCCAATATTTTTCTCTAATAAAAATACTTTATCATAGCTTTTTAAAATAAAATAAAAAAAATCTGTAATATTTCTCGGTAGTTCTGCGAAATTTAGCCAGAAAACTCATGTTTGTCTTCCCCTTTCTCCTTCTAAAGGTTTAGCACCAACCACTGGAGAAAAAGAATGGTATTTCTTCTGTCCAAGAGACCGAAAATACAAGAACAGCTCAAGACCTAACAGAGTCACAGTCGCCGGATTCTGGAAAGCTACAGGGACTGACCGGCCAATTTACTCGTCGGAGGGAACAAGATGCATCGGTCTCAAGAAATCGCTTGTATTTTATAGAGGAAGAGCATCCAGAGGTACCAAGACTGATTGGATGATGCATGAGTATAGACTTCCTACTAAAGTGCAGCCTTTTGATAAGAGCATGCATCCGAACGTAAGTAAATAGCTAGAACTTTATCTTCATATACAGGTACGGGTACGGATACAAATATGAATACGATATAGGTGAAAATTTAGATTTCAAATAACCCGCCATAAGATTGTTTGTTTTTTTTTTTTTTGAACTTACTACCCCCGTGATTTCATTGTTGAAACAGACTCACTACCCCCGAGTTTAAATAACTTTTGAGGTTTATCTGTTATTTATTTATACTTTTAAAGGAATACTAACGTATGTTAGTGTCCCCTCCAACAGGATTCATGGGCAATTTGTAGGATTTTCAAGAAGAGCGCTACGATGGCTCAAAGAGAACTGAACCACTCGATGGCTCACTTATTTCATATCACCGAGAACTCCGCCACGCTCTCCAACATTCCAAACGCTCAAGGAACCAGACCACCCGAATTCTTCCCCGTCCTTGATTTCACCTCCTTTTCTCCCTCGACGCATCTCAACTTCTCCCCCGAAGAAATCAACGACGTCAAGAGAGCGTCGACCAACGTGAACTTTGGACGGCCAGGGGCAGACGACGCGTTGAGGGTCGAAGAAGAGGACGCGACGATGAGAAATGCTGGGCTGGGAGCAGCAGGTGCTGCGGATTTTCCCTTCGATTTGTCATGGGAGTCTCCGTCATGCTTCTATGAGTTGGATGGAGAATAGATGCTACACTTAGCTCGGATGACACCGTGCAATGAATTTGGAGAGTACAAATTTTATCGGAACTGTCCGCATACAGCTATGGTTATGAGTCATTCACAGTCAGATTTACACTCCAAAACGATCTCGTCGTCGTATGGAGAATAACAGGTGTTCTGATAAGATTTGTACTTTTTTAATTTAGATTGTAACGTTGGAGAGGATTTTATTGCACAGTTACAGCGAGCAGTATCGGAGATGAAACTAAGAGAGTAGTATAAGTTACCTGTCATGCACATAATTTTTTAGAGGAATTTATTGTACAGTTATAATCTCATGTAGATAATTTTGAAGTGGGGGAACTCATGATCCTTAATTCAAATCTCTTTCTTGGCTATGTATAGCTTAGTACTCCTGAATCGCAACTTTTAGAAAAACAAGTTGAGGCTCAGGAGTTGTTTGGTTCACATGAAATATTGGCGTGTTTGGCAAACCGAAGGTGAATTGGAAGAGTGAAAGCCACTTTTTTGGCGAGCTGAGAGAGTGTATCTGAAAGTGAAACGCAATGCTTGTTTGCAAAATAAAATATTGTTGAAACTAGAAAAAAAAAAGTAAAGATGATAGTGGCAATAACATTTTCTTTATTCATTTAAAATTAAGTAAATATCCAGGACGCATCATAATTAGGGAGCAGGTACGTGGCAACCAATCATGGTTGAAAAGGCTGGCATCTTCTAAAATTAGATTTTTTTTTTCTAGATAGTTGGTTATGGTAATTAGATTTACTTTTTATAGAAAAAAATTAAAACATTTGTTGCAGCCAATTTCGGCGCAACAAATGTTGCAATTTTGCACAAACTAAACAAAAACCTAAAAACGTCAACAAATTTAGTTAATTCTACCTCAAAAATATTAGACCTTTTTAACATTTTCAGAGAAACAATCACTTCATTGCAATGGATATGCATTTGCCATGATAAAAATTGCAAATCTAACACTTTTTGCAACTAACCAAACATTAGAACATTAGAACGGACTTTGAAAATACATTTGCTATAACTAAAATGTAGAAATCCAAACGACAAATTTGATGTATTTTCCTACAACAAACGCAGCATGCAACACTACCTGAAATTACATTTGCAAAGAACCAAACAGCCCCCTCAGCGTTAATAAATGGGTTCAGGGGATATACAACAAAGGGAGTCACGTGCAATTACCCTTAAATAGCATCAACCTGGGGACTCTTTCCTCTTAGCAATAGAGGATACAAGTCGGCAATTATATAGCACAAGCATAACAAAAATAAGGCTGGCTGAAAAACAAATATTTTGCTTGCTTCAACTGAAATTAAAATGAGGTAAAGATCAACCAAATAGATTTCTGAATCGATCCAAGTACGCATCCAAGCAAAATACAAGTAATGAACGGCCAAGCAGAAATACTTAAACAAAAAAAAGTCGCAACTTCTTAAAGAGATATTGGTTCATAGTAACTAATGAAACATTATCTAAAGAGAAATGGCAACTGCTTGATAGCCACTCATACATATCATAATGAAAGTCAAAATTCCTTCTTAATTACTCATTTAACTCTTGCCGGCTTGCTTTTCCTTGGCCTTCTGAATCTTCAAAACTTTCTTCACAATCTTCTGCTCTTCTACCAAAAAGGCCCGAATGATTCTATTTGCAACATCAAAGAAAAGAGATTAGATACAAAAGAGAGAACGAAACAAAGAATCAACGAGAATGTCAATTAAAATGCTAGTACCATACCTCTCCTTCACGGCGCTGCCAGAGAGAACACCGCCATAAGCACGATTCACAGTTCTCCTGTTCCTCGCAAGCCTAGACCTCTTGTACTCAGTAGGTCTCAAGTGAGGAATCTAGTAGTTGAAAGCCGATGATTAAGAATACGCGGTATATGTCGATGCTTAATGAATTATATCATTCAACTTTGTTCACTATGATGTACAAATAACATAGTTATTTACTTGCATAAAGAGAATTAGCAATGTTGACATCGATCAATTCGATCAACAAGCACTCAAAAATAAATTTATGATGATCCTTCTGAAGTTGGCTATCTAATATGCTATTCATGACAGGCACATGTTTCACAGGCAGGATCTATATAACATGCTTGTACTGCAGGTTTGATGTAATCTGACAATCAACTGCAGTCCAAATAAAGGTTTCATATTTTCACATCTAACAATCAAGTCAAAATCATATATCAATTTAGAAGGCTAGAAAATAAAGACTCCAATATTATACATTGGAATGCTTGCAACTCCAAATATCATACAACCAAGAAAATTTATTTGGTAATATCTTCTAAATATTGATTGGAATAAGTAATCTTGAATGTGTAATATCTTCATGAAGTACAATATAATCCACTTGGGTCAAAAATATAATATCATCATCGACAACAACGGGTCAAAATTATAATATAATCATCAATAACACTAGCAACAAGTAAAAAGTAAGTACAACCTGCTTCGAAATAATAAGATGACCGCATGATTGCATAGTTGCATAATTCATAAATTTTACTAGCTTAGTAATAATCCAACAAGATCAGGATAATGCAATCTTATAGAAGATCCTTTAAAATGTCATGCATGGTGTTTATACTATGAAAAATAATGGCGTCCAAGTACTCAATGTTCCCAGCACGGTACATCCCTGGCTACGAACTCGTGTAAACTAAATGCACCTATAATAATAAGTAATGAAGAAAGCACAACTCAATGGTGTTGGATAACGGTTAGATACGCTCGAATACTGCTAGAATAAAGGCATGATAAAAGGCATGATAGGCATATAATTTGAGATTCAAAGAAAAAAGGAAAGATAACACAAAAACTTCTAAACCACCAAAATCTAAACAGGATAACTTTTTAAGCAAATTTATCCAGAAGTGACCCAAATCGTCACGTAACAGCAACTACATATGATTTTACCGCATTTATGTGAGCAGCATCAAGACAAATCTATATCAATCACCGCAAGCATGAAGGCTACAGAAACATATGTGAACTACCTACATCCTCTTATAGTCCCATTTCATCTAGAGCAAGCTAACTTAAACACACATGACAAAAAGCATAGAAAATAAGCTGTTAAAAAAACTGAATGTTATGTCATAAAAATGCACGCATAAAAAAAAATCGATGGGGAAAGAATGAAAAAATGAAACGATTTGGAAATTACATTTTGATTTCCACAAAAAACAATCTCCAGACATACCTCAAGATGCACCAATCACAATGAGGAAACCACTATAATGAACTTTACAAAGGAAAAACAATTAAAACGAACTATCCAAATGAAGAGCCCAACAGACAACAAATATCCCAACAGTCCCCATAAAGAGTGAAAGAAAAAATATATATATTAAGAAAAGGAGAGCACTAAATACCCCTTGGATTCTCTTTCCAGTCACAGGGCACCTTGGTCCTTTCGCCCTCTTCTTGGCAGTCTGGTAGGTAAGCTTCCCACCTGCAATCACAGACAAACATCAAATCAAAAACCACAGATAAAAAAAGCTTTTACACTAGAAATTTAGGAAAGACTCAAACTGTAGCGAACAAGCACAGAAAAGAAAGAGCACTAAGGTTCAGTTTGGTACTGCAACAAACCAGATTAATAAGTAAATCCAAACAGTTTGAATGTGTTGCTGAATTAACTACATCAGCCTTAAATTAGCTATTGCATTTAAATCTCAGTTAATCCAGTTCTTTTCACAATAAACGTTCATGCATAGAGGAGAGGGGTTTTTTAGAAAGTATGGCGGTAATTTAATTTTGGTATTAAGAATAATATGTTCTCTAGTAACCCACTTAACTCATTTCGGTTGTCAAAAATGACACATACATCCAAAAAAGAGGATAATATCACATACTAAAAATAGCGAATTCAAAACTTGTGGGGTTGTCAGAAATGATGGACATATATTTTGACAATGATGAAGTTTCAAATTGTCAAACAAGCTAATTTGGTTGCCCACTTAGATAGCTCGACAAAGAAGCTAAATTTTATTTTGGCCACAAAGTTCTCAGGGTCTACATACCAAAGATCTCCAAAGGGAAAGTAGTTTGCAGTAATTATCGAAAATGGGACAGAAATTAAACTAGAATATTTTAGGATTTCCTAATTTTTATAGCAGTGGAGATGTTGTCTGTCCTCGAACGCTTACCTTAATGTGTTCTTTGACCCACTCCGGTGCAAGGAACTTAAGCACAAACTGCTTCAAGACCAGCAACCTAAGTAGTGTGGTGTGCACCTATTAGCAATTCAAAACGTGAAGGAGCAACACACAAACAAAGGCTTTTCTCTCTCTTATGGACTTGTGAGAGAAACAGCAGAGAATTCTTGCGACGCTCTCTCCCTTTGTGAACCAAAGCTCCTCATAAGCAAACAGCCGCCAAGAACATCTATCTTGTTTGGCAAGCCGGTAAACTTGGCGGAAAATTGTCTTTGATTGGTAAGTAAGTCAAACTCGGATTCCAAGTTTTGAAGCTTTATTATTTCCAAAAAGCAACTCCGCCGTTTCTAAACATTCCTCGACACTTTCAAACTTGCGTTTCATTGCTTGTAATTTCTTGTGCATGATGAAAATGTTGCTAGGACCCGAACCACTTAGATCGATTCAAAACTAGCCAAGCGCATGGTGAACAAGGGCCTGAACCGACACAAGCTCAACAAGGGTGTCTCCATAATAGCCAAACTTTGAACTATGGTACCACATTAGCTCTACCCAGTAGATTCGTAGGGGTCGGCTCAACACTCCGGCTGCACTTTCTATCAGAACACAGTGAAATATCCATACCACCACCCCCCCTTTCCTGTTTGGCACATTAATGGCTCAGAACCTCCCCCATCGTGCGGGAGGTTCTGCGAGGATATGCTCCATCTTAAATAGGTAAATCCTTAATGCGTGCTCCCTAGCAGCACCCAGCACCCGAAGCCCTGTCGCTTCACATAGCTAAACCTCTAGCAAATGTATAATTCATAGTTCAGGGCTAGCTTTAAGGATTTTCCTACACGAGGTGGAGTTGGGTCAAATCACACGTGCCACACATTAGGGAGTTCAAAGCTGATCCATTCATTCGAATCCCATTAACAGATAGAGAGGCTAAAGAAAAAAAAAACGAGTTTCTACAAGCTAAAATTGTTTCTTTAAAGCTAGCTAATGTTATTCCCATAGGAAAATCATGAACCCTAACCTCAACCCAATGAAAATCACTGTAAACTAACACAAACCCTAAATTGGGTCGGATCTACAGAGAGAGAGAGAGAGAGAGAGAGAGATCGTTACCGGGGGTTTTGACGACACGTGTCTGATTGGACTTCGTGGCATAGCTGTGCCTCTTTCGGTAAGTGAGTCGCTGAACCATTCTCTCTCTCTCTCGCTCTCTCGATCTCGAACCTAAAAACTCAAGAGAAAGGAGAACGGAGGCGAGGGAGACTATATAAATGACCGCTCTTTTTACAAAACCCTAACCCTAGATCCTACGGCCGATGCTTGTTTTCTTTGATCGGACGGATGGAACTCTTCTCTATATGGGCCGGGCTATTTAGGTTCTTGCTCAGTTAGCCTTGGTAAAGAAAGGCCCATATCCGAAAGCGACAAAAAGTTGGGCTCCGGACTCGCTGGCGTGGCCCATTCAAGCTCTGAAATGATGGATCCTTCAGAAAAAGTGACAGCCACATGCACAAACTCTATATAACTTCCGTGGAGGTCATGAATAATATTAACTAAATTAATTGTATATGGAAAATGCTAGAGACACACCCTTAAATTACACTTCTAACCACACTCCTCTTTTGTTACAGTGCACTGTGGCTCACATGAGAAATTTTTTTTTTAATTCTCACGTGGGCCCCAGTACATTGTAGCTAGAGAAGAATGTAGTTGAGAGTGTGATTTAGGGTGTGACTGTAGCGCCTCCCATTGTATATAAGTCTCTTTAGGGCCGGTTTGGTTGATGTTTTTGGTCTCGTGTGTTGGACAGAAAGCCTGTCAAAAGAATATTTTTTGCAGGTTTTCTGACCAACACCCGAGACCAAAAACATCAACCAAACGGGCCTTTATTGGAGAAGCCTGTTGGATGAAAGTATATTATTGGTCTGCGTGAGTAATTTAGAATTTTTTTTGAAATCAGCAGACATTCTATTCTCGCTACGTTGAGGGCCAACTCTGTCTCGTAGCGAATGGACTTGGTAGAGATAGACAGATAGTGATCTTTTTTTTTTCTTTTTCTTTTTCCCCCCCAAATAAAAATGATTTAGAAATCAGGGTTGATGTGTTCGTGCACATAATTAGTTAGTGTGTCGTTAATGCGTTATACGTCCAAACTCTCACAAGCGGCAAGCCAAGATAAAAAGGTTTTAACGCTTATTTTGGTGACGTACATCAATCAAGAGAATGACACAGGAGACTCTTCTATTACTCATATCCCTATCATTGGGAATAATATACAACGTACATGGTTGTAGTACTCGGTATGTTTTTTATTAGGATAAATTTTTAAAAAGGACGATTTTTTTTATTTAATATTAGTAAAATCGATCCCGTTATAGCAAAATTGTCAAAATCGATCATTTTCTGCAATCTTAGCAAAAAAACGATCGATTTTGCTGAAAAAAGATTTGGTAATTACATGGGACTACTAGTCCCGTGTAATTAGAACACGCTAATCTTTATTAGCAGTGCAGCACTAGAAGACACGTTGATTAATAAATGGTGACTAATCATACGGGCTAGTAGTCCCGTGTAATTTAAAGCTTTTGTTTTGCAAAATCGGCTGCAGACTAAAACGAGGTCGATTTTGCTAATTTTATTATCAAATGGTCTATTTTGTTTATATTGTTTTCAAAAAAGTTTATTTTTAAAATTTCTCCTTTTTATTATTTTCCCTTGGATTAAATCTAGATTTGCAGCACGAAGAAATGCATAAAATTAGACACCATGCATTCATTCAAACAAGGACCTGTCTTGTTTTATATTATATACAAGTTGATATATTACGTTAACCTTTCGTATAATTTATGGCTTTCACATATTAGTCCTCAGTCTTATGAGTTTCATTTTTGTTGACATCTGCTAATTTTGCGGCCATGCCCAAGCATGCAACTCACACGTGTCTGTCTGGTAACTTAACAAATCAAATCTCTCTCTCTCTCCGTAAGTGTAAGAAATTAAATTCCGTTCATCTGCATCCGATTTGGGTTTCTATAAAAAAACGATACTGTAGCTACTTTATAGATTTGGTAATCCCAAATTTCTGGCTGAGCCAAACCCCAGAATAGAATTCACATAGGATCAATAAATTACCAAATTGCCACTGTCAGACCCCAATTACTAATCCTATTCCTTAAACTGGTGAAACAAACAGGCCCTTATCGTCCCGCTTTAGCATTCCGGACTTGCTAGTGTGCATCACAAACAAAGCACGACTCTCTAATTTTTTTTAAAGACTGCATGTTAAACTTTATCTTTCTTTAAGTTTTAATACGTTTGATTTAATTATTATATGTTTAGAATTAAAAATTATATTTACTCATTTATACTTAAAGAATGATCTAAATTTTAATATATTTGATTTAAAAATCATATTTACTCCTCTATACTTAAAGAAGGATATAATTTTTAATATATTTGATTTTTTTATTGTTTATGATGCAGTAAAATACTTAGCACGAATAATAAACTCAAATATGGTGAGCAAATTTGATTTGTTGTTTATGCTAATGTAACATTCATTGTAGCATAAAAGAGGAGTAAATGATTGAGTTTATACGATTGCTTTTTCCCTCGCGTTTCCACATTTTTTGGGCTATAGAGATATTAAAAATTCTTTTTTAGGCCCAGTGATACAAACCATTGACTGTTATTTTAAATTATTTAAAAGTTAAATCACATTAAACCCCCTAAACTTTAAGTGTTTTGGAGTAAAGCCCCAGTAACTTTCAAAATTGCAATGACCCAGGAATAATTTTTGCAAGAAACCCCACAATATTTTTGGATAAATTACATGAAACCCCAATATCTTTCGAAAAGCCTTTTTATGTTACTTGTGGGTTCTAATTTATGGGGTTATTAGCAAAATACGGAAGTTTATTGGGAGATTTCTGCAACTTCAAAAAGGTATTGGGGATTTAGTGCCATTTTGAAAGTAATTGGGGATTTAGTGCAATACACCAATAGTTCTTGGGCTTTAGTGTAATTTAACCCTTTTAAATTTTGTTTATAACAAAGCATAAAAAATTTTAAAATAATATTTTGCTATTATTGGAACCAAATAATTTATCATTTTGAAAGGGAAAAAAGAGAGTTAAGAAGTACTTGTGATGATTTCAAAATTTGAGGAGGAGTTTAGCATATTGCAACGTGAACAAATTAAATCGGACAAATATTTTTATTAGACCTATTCCCAAAAAAATAATCAAAATAGACCTAGTCCCAAAATATTTATCAAAACAGATCTAGTTTCTGCACGTTGGCTGAAACTACATCGATTTTGATAAATATTTTAGAAACTTGGTCGATTTTGGAAAAAAAATCGTAAAACTCTACGAGATTGGGAATCCTGAGGAGTTTAACGCACAATTTAACTTCACAGGATTGTCAATCCCATGAATTTTTCGGAAATATTTTTCATCAAAATCAACCTAGTTTTGCTGTCAGTGGCTGAAATTTGGTCGATTTTGATAAATATTTTGCAAGTAGGTAGAAATTAATAATTTTGTTTTTAAAAAGGTATATTTCAAAAATTTATCCAATTATATCAGAAAAGATATATAGTACGTGTGATGAGTTCATGCCCATATAAACCTATACATAGTAAATCCTACGACTTGTATCAGTATCCAAACTACATGACATGAAAGGCAAACTGCCCATACATACAACATTCAGTGGCCATGAGCTACAACATGAGTTCATTTATTATGAAAAATCTTTTTAACTTGAGAGTTTGCTTGGGTGCTTTAGGGCATGTTAGGCAATTTGAGATAATCAAATTAAGTCAAAAAATAACCAAACCAGAATTAGACTAGTTTGGCAAATAACTGAACCATGACTTGACCAGATTTTTTTGGGGGCCAATTTTTTGCTAATAATGGAGTCAGGAATCTTCAAAGGAACCCTAGTTCAGAGCTGATCTTCATTAAGCTTGTTCCGAGCTAATACCCAAGTTGCCAAATTGACTTAAGAGAGTAGTTTACGTACAAAGGGGGAAAAAATTGTTGAATCAGTGAAAAGCATAGTGAAGGATTCAGAGCCAGTCATTTGGCTCACTTATATATGTATGAGTGGTGTTAGGGGCACACCCCCCACCACACCACCAACCACACCCCACTCTCCCATCGTTACAGTAAACCGGGCCCCACATGAGATTTTAAAATTTTTAAAATCCCATGTGGGGCCTGTGTGTGGGGACCACCCACGTGGGTGATTCAAGTGCGCAAGGTCAGCAACGCGGTTTGCTTCCGCGTTTCGTTTTCCGCATGCTTGATGGCCCACCCGAAATCAGAGCCTTATAAAACCCTCTAGGGTTTCGTGAAGATAATGGTAAGGCAGGGAGCACAAAAGTGGCAGCGGCTGTTTTTTGAGCGCAGAAAAATTAGACAGCGGTTGATTAGTGTGCGAGGTCAGAGGTTTTGGCGGCTGCAGCAAACACAGAGAACAAAAAGGAGCAGTGCTTTTTTGGCGGCTGCAGCAAACACAGAGAACAAAAAGGAGCAGTGCTTTTGGTGGCTATTCAAGGAGGAAAAACAAGTCTTTTGTAGATGTTCTTTGTTTTTAGCACCCTCTTTGAGAGAGTATTTGTGTGAGGGATCTGAGAGTTTGTGAGAGGGTTTTATTTATGAGATTGTAAACCCTAATTGTATCTCTCCCTCTAATAGTAGATCTCCCCCTCCTTGCCCCGTGGACGTAGGCTATTTGCCGAACCACGTAAAAATTTGTGTTCTTGCCGTGATTTGTAATAGCTTGTAGGATCCCTTGACAGGTCAGTCCTAGAACTGATGAGAGGAAGAGCCGATATCTCACTTTATTGAGATATCCGCTTTAGATTCTTGTTTCCTTGGTAATACAGGAATTCTTACGATCTAATCTCTTGTTGTGCACCTTGCGCATCGGAGGTGCTGCCGAAATTTTCGCTGCGCACAACAAGTGGTATCAGAGCTCCGGGTTAGACTTGGGAGCTTGTTTGAAGGATTCGCTGGAGGATTCCTATTTGAAAATTAGATCGACAACATGGGAGAAACAAGCACATCAAGATCGTCTCTTTCGAAGGCGATACAGAGTCTGAGCATCAATAATACAAAGATTGATGTTCCGAAGTTCGACGGCAAGATCAATTTTGGTTTGTGGATGTGTCAAGTGATGGACGCCTTGGATGCACAAAATTTGGAGGACACTCTTGAGTTACAAGAGAAACCCGCTGA